CCGTGTGTGTGTGTGCGTGCTGTTGTGTCTGTGTGTGTGTGTGTGTTGTTGTGGGTGTGTGTGTGTGTGTACTTGCGTGTGCTGTTGTGTGTGTGTTGTTGGTGTGTTTGTGTGTATGTGTGTGTGTGTGTGTTGTGGTGTGTGAATATATATTATACATATATATGCATATATAATATATTAAAATATATAATTTATATATATAATAGTATATATTATATAATATATATATTATATTTGTCTCGTCTGTTTCTCTTCCCCTCTCTCCTCTCTCTCTCTTCTCTCTCTCTCCTCTCTCTCTCTTCTTCTCATCTCATCTTCTCTCTCTTCCCTCTCCTCTCTCTCCTCTCTCTCCTCTTCTCTCTCTCTCTCTATTCAATATATTCTTTGCATCACTGTTATCAGTAGTTTTATAATCATCCTCATCATTTTGCTTTGTGGAATATTATTATAATTTGTTTTAATGTACATGTTATGTTCATTACCATATGGCATTCTGTTGTTACTACTCTTTCATTCATTATTACATTTATCAATAAGAAGTAACCCGTTAATATCATTAAACATGCTTTGGGCTGCAATCCCTTATCATTCTAATTTAATCACTATTCCATGCAATTATCAATTTGTTTATTTTATATACTAGTACATTAATCGTTATCATTTTCAAAGCTATTACCATTATTATTGCCAATATCATTATACAACATCCATAATTTTCATTATCATCAAATCACTATTTTCTGTCATTCTTAACTCATTCAGATTATCGCTGTCTTTATAACTATTTGTTGCCAAACCTTCCCATCTCCACATTTTGCAATTGTAGCAATTTCATCAATCTCCATTATCATTGTCGTTTTAGTTTATCATTAATAGTGTTATTGTCATTGCTTATGAAATGTTTTAGAAAGTCCTGCTTTGTTTATTTTTGTTTTGGTCTATTACATTATTGTTTATTCTTTGAAATTTTTGATGGTAATATCAAGATTTTTTTTATTCATTTGTCACCAGTATCATTACAAAACAAAGTCATTATCACAATGATTTTCATTAATATCGCCAGTTTGACTGTCCTTTTCTTTCTTTCTTTCTTCTTTTCTTTGATAGTATTAAGAGTATTATCATTTTCCTTCATTTTATCATACCATCAATAGCATTACTACTATTTCAATTTCTAATGAGTAGCTGTAGATGTGCTATCCTAGTGTCAGTAGTCTTAATAGACTTATGACATCATTATATGCTTAATTATTCATATCAAGCTAGCTCACCACAAACTTCTGATTCTTATAATAAACCTCTTTCTTGTTATTTCTCATCTTCCCTTTGCTATGATCGTCAACGTAGCTGGTATCAATATTCATATTATGTTTGCTATCATTATTGGTAATAGTATTAATAATATTGGTGATGATCATAGTTATAATAATGATGATAATAATTTGACAATACCCAATAATAACAATAATGATTAAAATGAGTA